AACACCCCAACATATTTAAATACAGTGTTAAATGTGTTGATGCTGCTGACTCCAGACTGGGTTGTTTTGTTTCTTCAACATTGGTCTGTTCACCTGCAAACATCCATGAAGTCACAGTTTGGAAAGACTAACAACAGAACAATGGATGGATTAGTGAAAGAATGCATCAATGAAGGCAGCACGGTGGCACAACTGGTAGAGCTGCTGCTCTCAGCAAGAAGGTTGCTGGTTCAAACTCCGGTCCGGGGGCCTTTCTGTGTGGAGTTTGCATGTTCATGCGTGGGTTTTCTCCAAGTCAATATTTTTCAGTCAGGTCATTTGGACAGTTTCTTTTTTTTTTTTTTTTGTGCTGAAATGTTTTGCCTTCGGTCCGGAAGTCTATGTGTCCCTGTGATGGACTGGAGACCTGTCCAGGGTGTACTCCGCCCCTCGCACAGTGATTGCTGGACATGGGCACCAGCGACCCCCGTGACCCAAAATGGAATAAGCGGGTGAAGATAATGGATGGATGGATGAATCAATGAATGAACAAATGAATAAATGATTGAATGAGCTAATCAGTGAATAAACAAAAAGTTTTTCTTAAAAATCAAAAAATAAAGAATACAAACAAGGTTAAATCATGTCATCTGGACAGTTTGTTTTTGAGAGAAACGTCTTTCTTCCGAAAGACAGACTTTATCAGTCTGTTGCCTGCCCCAAAGATCTGTCTTATAAATATCACCTCCTTGACATGTTTTAGGCTATGGAATAAAAAACAAATAGAAAATAAACTAGCAAAAAAAAATAAATGTTTGATAAAGTTAGAATATAAATTAACAAAGCAAAGAGCAATTAAATGCATAACCGAAATAACAAATGAATGATCAAGATGGATGGATGGATGGATGGATGGATGGATGGATGGATGGATAGATGGATGGATAGATAGATAGATAGATAGATAGATAGATAGATAGATAGATAGATAGATAGATAGATAGATAGATAGATAGATAGATAGATAGATAGATAGATAGATAGATACTTTATTAATCCCAGGGTAAAATTTGAGGCATCCAGTAGCATGTTCTAATGACCGTATACAGAAAAAAGGCACATATGAAATTTAAAAAACAGAAGCAGAACACACAGATTTGGAAAAAGACAACATGCACATTGTGGTAGGGAGTACTACATACATTCATGATTAACCTATATATACATATATATATATATATATATATATATATATATATATATATATATATATATATATATATA